GCTGTGCACCTGTAATCCCAGCACTAAGGAAGCTAAGCCTTGAGGATCACAAGTTCAGGCTCCTCTGGGAAAGTTAAATAAAAAGAAAAAGGAGTGGGGGATGTACTTCAGTGGTAGATGCCCCTGGGTGCAATCTTCTTCTGTACATAGGAAAGGAAGAACAACAAATGGCTGTTTGAACTGTTTATACACTTAACCTTCCATCACCAGCAGGGGCAGCAGCACCACCTGATTCTCCAGGATGAGAACTAGCACAACTGCCCAGGGTGGGACAGAACATTCAGGGAGATGTCAGGGAGGGGCGGGAGGCTGTGCCCCGTTCATAGCTTGAACTACCTGGAATGATTCATCCCTAGCTGAGCGCCCTTCTCTGCTCCTCCAGGGCAAAGCTGGAAGACTCAAAAATTCTTGGGATGGAGACCGGGTTTTTTCTTCAAGCTTAACAGTGATAAGCAAAGGACAGTGTAGGAAGAGACACCTTTGAAAGGATCTTAATGAGAGTTTTGGAGGTCTTAAAAGGGCTCCCTGTGAAAGCAGGAAAACAAGAGTTAGAAACTGAACTCGGATTTGGCAGTGATGGCTTGGACGATGTGCTTACATATGCGTATATGCCAGCATTGTAAGCAAGTGTTTTATAGTTATTTAGAAGAGGAATCCAAGCTCTTCTGATCTGGTAACTTCCGTACTTTCTCGTTCTTTGATGCAATAGTTCATGTGCTAATTAACAGTTAATTAAACTTTATTACTTTTACCGTGGTGTTAAAGTCCTTTGCTGTGTGCCAATCTGCACCTCTAAAATAAGTACCAGATGAAAGAAAATTAAACCACCTACTATTTCATTGTCAAATGATGCATTAAATTAAAATGATTCCTAACAATTTATCAGTTTAATATATGTATAGTAAGTGTACTATTTTCATTTCTGGTTTGCAGATGGTTTTCTATAAACTACATTTGTATCAAGTCTGTATGTGAACAATTTTTTAAAAAGCTCCACAATAAGGTACACATAGGGTGTATTTAAGAAACTGGCCACCGGCACTTCCGGGAGAACATGGCGGACAGATAACAGCAACTACCGGAGGCTCTCTGAAAAACTAGGCTGAGAAGCCAGGTATGGTGCGGACTAAAGAGACATAAGCAGGTGGAGTTATGCTCTGCTGACTCAGGAACGAACTCAGCTGAGAGAAACCAACTTGGAATGTAGTCCTGGTGCTAAAACAGGAACAGAAAAGTCTCACTGCTGAGGCTGGACCCTGCGCCATTGGAAGCCGCGATTTGGGTTTCCCGCCACGCGGCGGCTGGCTGCCTCTACATCGGCTTGGCAAGGAGAGAGACACGCGGAAGCTCTGAGAACGGGAGTCTGCGAACGGAGTTGAAAACAGGACGGGCAGGGAGGCATGTTCTGACTTGTGGCGAGGTGAGTGAGAGAAACTGACACTCCACCACAGTTTGACTCCAGCAGACTTTCTGGGCCCGAGCAGTCCTGCGGGAGCAGGGCGCAGTGGCGACTCCAGCCACACATTCCCCTCTCGGGCGGGATTGGTGAAAAGTGCCTGGCCTGCGTGACGCTGCCGGCGGACCCCGTAGGCTGGCCCAACCCAGATCCCGGAGCCTGACGGAGGAGGCCGGGAGGGGCGGGCCCCCGCGTAGGCTGCCTGGTGCACAGCGGTGAGTGGGAACACCTAACCGGCGCAATTCGATCAGGCTGTGGCTGACAGGGAGAGAAGCTGGGCCTCTCATATAAGCTTGCATATAAAAGGAACAGAGAATATGGGAAGAGGCAGCAACAAGAAAGGGTCCTCGGCCCCCAATTCTGAGAAACAGGCAATAGCGGACACCGCACCAATACACATAAAGCACCATATAGAGAGCCTCATAGACCAATTCAGGAATGAAGTTATCAACGACCTGAAGCTAGAAGTATGCAAAATAGTTAGAGAAATGCTAAGCCCCACCCAAGAAAAAACAGGTGGTGGAATGGAAGAACAGAAAAAGAGGGGAGAATTGTTTGATGGAGAAAACAGGGAAAGCATAGAATACGTGAAGCAGGTTCAAAGGGACTACCAAGAAACTAAGAAGTCTATCGAAGACTGGCATAACAGCTTGAAAGAAACTAAGGACAGACTATCTGAACTGGAGGGCAGAATTGTAATATGGGAGAACGAAATGAAAAACTTCTTAAAAATAACAAAGAAACAAACAGCAATAATACAAAGACAAGAAGATGATAAGAGGATCCATAACTTAAGGATTAAGAACATAAAAGAAGAAGTAGGGACACAAACAAATGAACTACAAAAGCTACTCACAGAAATAATCCAGGAGAATTTTCCTAATTTAGCAAAAGGTAAAGATACTCAGATGTATGAGGCATACAGGACCCCAGCTACCTACAACCCAAACAGAGCAACACCCAGGCATATAATAATAAAAATTCCAGAAATTCAATACAAGAACAGAATATTAAAAGCTGTCAGAGACAAGAAACAGACCACTTACAAGGGAGCACCAATCAGAATTACAGCAGATTTCTCTGCACAAACCATCAAATCACGAAGAGCGTGGGGGGAAATAATTCAAGCTTTGAAAGATAATAATCTCCAGCCAAGATTGAGATATCCTGCACAACTGTCCCTGGAAATTGATGGAAAAACAAGGTACTTCCAGGATAAAGAGGAACTGGGGGAATTTGCAACCACCAATTCAACTCTACAGAGAGTATTGCAGGATATTCTAAAAAAAGAAAAATACAAAGAACCCAGAAATAGTGGAGGCCACAACTAATGGAGCAGAGAACAAAGTAAAGAAGACAAACTGACAGCTACTGACAGAATAAGAGCTCAACAGAAATGAGGCAGAGAAGATTGGGTGATAGGAACAGCTATTTTGGAGAAAATGACATCTTAATAGGTAATACTGATTTAGTATCATCTTGTTTTGAAGTCTCATCTAGCTTTTGTCCTTCTGTCTCCAAAGGTCTAAATAGGTTGTATCTTACTGGATTTTATTATGTACGATAGTATAAGCAAAAACCTTTTAAAGACAAGGAGATTATCCAGAAACCATTATTCATTTTCTGTTAGTCAATTCTAAATACTCTATAATGCTGTCATTCTCTTAAATGGTTTTACATTGTTTTGATATACTTAATGCTACAGTATATGAAGTTGTACTCAAGGATTTCAAGGAAAGAGACAATATGGTAACTACTTTTAGGTCAGGATTATCTGGTGGTGAAACGCTATTCTTCTTAAATGGTTATGTTTTGATCTGTGCTGTTTCGTTGTTATGCCCTCTTTTATCTCAATCTCCATTCCATTATTTACTTTTTTAATACTTTTTAAAAATTTTTATCCTTTTAATTAAAGGAAAAAAAATAGCAGGATATATTATAGTAACCCACTTTGACTTTCCATTACCTCGATTTAAAGCCCTGTATTACTCTCACCATCTGGTTTTTAACTGATGTTCCCCTATTCTGTTTTGCTGGATAGTATCAGGTTCGAAAATTTAGGCATCAGCTGTGAAGATAATGAGATTCATTATAACGCCCATTCTCGTTGACTTTTATCTACTTTTGAAGACCTACAATGTCTCCAATGGTTTGGCTTTATTGGTTTTGTTCTTTACTGTTTTGTTCAATTGTATTATAACTAATGGTATAGGCAATTCTATTAGAGATAGCGGGAGGCATTATGGTAACCATTGTTGATCACCTTGTATTATGTTTTCACATTATCTATTATGTCCACCCTTTTGACTTGACCGATTCTGTTCTGTTATGTCACATTTGGTTTTACTCTCTTCCAAAAAAGTAATAAGAACCGTGAGAGCAATGAAACCCAAAATGTGTAATAGTCATTGTACAAAAGAGAGGAAAAGAAAGTGCTCTAAACTATATAACTGCATGTATATTTAAGTGTATAAGATAGAATATGATATCACAGAGTTTTATTGATCATTGAACAGAACTGTTTGCAGTATCATTGATGGAATGTCCACTTTACAAGCTTTAATTTTGTGACTTGAACAATTATTTCTAAGATGACAGTATGTAATCCATTAACTAGTGATTTCCTACTGTTCATTTTTTTTCTGCAAATCTGTATAACTTGTACCCTTTCTCTGCTTTTTTTTTTCTTTTCTCCTTAAATAAAATTTAAAAATTAAAAAAAAAAAGAAAAAAAAAAAAAAAGAAACTGGCCACCAAAGCAAAGAAGAAGCAGGGGAAGCACGGGGGGAGGAAACAAAGAAAGAGAAGGAGGAGGAGAACGGGTAAGAAGAATAAGAAGAGAAGAAGAAAAGAAAAAACTGATACTGCAGATGCTTGTGAACAATCTGACTTAAAAATGCTTAGATTGTGAGTAACTTGTTGTGCAAGTGTTTTGCAAGACAAGCAAGCATTTCTAATAAATTTTAACTTTATAAAGGTGATGTCTTGCAATACCAGTAGTACCTGACACCGAATGTCGCATGATCACAACTGAGCCAATGGTTCCCTACCCCCACACCCACACAACAAATGTAAAATCAAATTAAAAATGATTAAAGAAGTGATTTTCAAGTGTGCTGACTTTTTTTTTTTTTTTGGCTACTGGGAATCAAACTCATGACCTCACACTTTCCAGGCAGGCACTTAACACTGCTGAGCTAAATTCCAGACCAGGGCCCCAGACCAGGGCTTTGGATTTAGCTCATGGCATAAGTGCCTGCCTGAAAAGCAAGAGGTCAGAAGTTTGATCCCCACCACCAAAAAACAAACAAACAAACAAATCCCCATGCTGTTAAATGATCATAATGGCTAATCTTATTGCATATAAGATTACAAAAGAAACATTACTTCCGCTTGTATATGACTAACTCTAGTACATAGACAGAAATATGGTAAAATGGTCCCCATTTTAAATGAATTTTTAAAAGAAATTCAAGAGCATTCTAACTGATTGAAATCGAAAATGTAGTTTTTATTTCCTCTAGAAACTTCAAAATGCACTTACCCAAGAATCCACACCACTGTTTTCACTGATTGTCAGACAATGTTTCACATCACCTTTCTTGTGTCTTAGAGTTCATTCTTTCTATGAATAAAAATGAAAGAAATGACCCATGTGTTACACGATCCCCTTCATTTATTTCTATACCTCCTTCACTCATTACTTCGTGACTACTACAAATGAAGTGTTACATGCTGAGCTGGGGCAGGACAGATCAAGATAAGGAGGCACGGAGGGACTGAAAACTCTATGACTAACAAAAACAGGTCCATTACTAAGTGAAAAAAGCCACGTTCACTGAATTTCTTTTCTTTCTTGCTTTTTATTGTATTTATTTTTGGTACTGGAGATGGAACTCACAGCCTCACGCTTGCCAGGCAGGCACTCATGCCACTGAGCTAAATCCCTGGCCCTTTCGTTTCTATTTCTATATCAAGAGGAGGGAGAGACACTATATCATGCACCATATTCTTCTGCCTTGCTCACACTCCTTAAGCACTAATGCTGTGCAATGAAAACAATGTTCTTGACTGCATTCACCTGCACTGGATGAGACTTGTTATTTTTCCAAAACTGAGCATGTTAATTGTTGGGGCTTTTTGGCTCAGCAGAGAAACAAAGGCAGAGAAGAAAAAAGGCCTTATCAGTGGGCATGGGAGAGCTGCCAAAGAGTGCAAGATCCCTCTGAGGCAGACAAAGAAGCCATGGGGCTTTCATTAGGTTTGACAGGGGATGGTGTTTGAAGAGGCGGACAGAAAGACCTACTGACAGCTGATGGGGGAGATGCTGGCACATGCAGGAAAAGCAAAAAGGTCAACTGGAGCTCAGAAGAGGAACACAGAAATCAATATTAGAGGGACACGCTGTCATGTTAGGGTCCAGCACCAGGTTGGGCAGGCACCACGTGAGGTCTGGCAGGCTCCCACATGAGTGAAACCTATCACTAATTCAAGCGGATTTCATACCAAGAGCGGCCCGTAGGGTGATCTGGGGCTGATGCTGACTTCGCAGGGACACCTCCTCCTGTACTTCATTGTGGCCCCATCTGCCACCCAGTGTTCTTTCTTCTACTGTTCAGTTTCTTTAAGTCAAGGAATGAAACACCTAAAGGAAATAGCAAGGAAGGCTGCATCAAAAACCACGACTGTTTCCTGGTTTATTACCAATAATACCTCCACTCACAAAATTATAGAACAATAAAGAAAATTACAAACCAGGCGACTTTAGTTTTATAGGAAAGTTAGAACATCTCAATATACTAGGATTACAGTAAAATAGATATACACATCTCTCATGTGCACTTATATGCACATATTTTGTGAGATACTCATTAAATTCCTTTGTTGTGAAATAATTCTAGCTTTCATTTCTTGGAAATTGCCTGATTATAGACTTTGATATTTATTCAGTGAATCAATCCTTCAATTTTATAGCCTTAAATCTTTGGTTGTCAGTCAAAACTGCCTAACGCCGCTTTTCATTATGATAGACAATGTGAAATCTGCACTTCTACAAAATTTCTACACACATTATTACAATTTTATTACCTATAGGCACACTGTTGTAACAGAAGTACAGAATTCATACACCTTCGATACCAAAAGCCCAGCAACGCACATTCCCCTCATCCTCAGACCCTGGAAATCACCATTCTACTGCCTCCTTGAAAGGTTGCTATATTTTAAGCATCTCATATAAAGAAAATTGTGTAGTATGTGTCCTTCTTTGATTGGTCTACTTCACTAACCTTTCTGGGTTCTTCTGCAAAACAACAGAAACCAGGAGTGAAACCATCTGCGCTCCCATGTTCACAGCAACACTTTCCATAACAAACAAGATGTAGAAGCAATATAAACGTTACTATTGCAATGGATAAAAACCAGGCCATACGATTCCTACAATTCAAAAGTATTCTGCCACTAAAAAGAAGGGAACTCTATCATAGGTAACAATGCAAGTACATTTCTTTCAAATTAATTTAGTAGCCATAGAACTTTGTTAGGGAAAGATGGGAAGCCCCAGATAACTTCTCTCCCACACAAATTACAACTGGAACCAGACACAGACAGAAAGCATGTACTGTACTTCAAAATGCTGCAAGCATGCAGTACTAGGCAAATGGGGACTGGAATCCAAAGGAGAACAACAGCCCATAATGGGCTGTTCCATGTTGAGTTTCTCCTTCTGTGTCTTCCAGCTTTGTCTAGGGAAAGTAAATTCCAGTAATCACTGAAAGAATAAATTCTGGACCCCAATCCTTGTTTGTCCAGAGAATCCAGAGAAGTGTGGACTGCTGCTCGGGGCTGGGGGTGCATCTGAGGCTTAAAGAGTCATCCCCACCCCACTTTTGTGCGTTTTCTCCCTCACCGGTTACAAAGTTGTCCAGCAGTCTCAAGAGAGGCAGAGGGACCTAAAGCCCCAACAAATGACCTGTGCCCACAAAGGAACAGGCAGTGACTTCTGCTGTATGAAGAGAATGAGGGAAATTGCCACTATGTTTGTACTCTATTGCTGTTGCTGATGGCCTGAGGGTTGACCTGCCCTGGGGAAGTTCTCTTCTTGTGGCAGGAAAATGTAAATGGCATTTTAAAGAGGAGAGAGCTGCAGAAATAAATCACTGAAGTCTGTGTAAGAGCCAGCACAAGGTCTAGACTCACAGTGAGCGGCTTGCACAGAATAGTTCCAAAGAAGCAAGGCAAAGGCTTTGGGAAGCGACTGAGCTATCAACCACCAGGCATCCAGTAGACCACCGGGGCTGGGGGTGGGGCACTGTGGCCTGAGCACAACCTGGACCCTGCAAAGCAAATGCAGGATGCAGTCTGACCCTGCTGCCTTGACAGCTTTGCAGAACAACAGAACAAGAGAAACCATTGCTTGCCTGAGGATTTTAATAGGAACCAGAGTCTCCTAAATCAACCAGCAAACTGTCCAGGGCACTATCCAAAACTAAGCAATAGTACATATAGAAAATTGAGACCATCTGACCAATCGTCAAGGGAAAGGGCAATATCCAGCCCTGCAACAACCCACTTAAAGGAAGGATCATGGAAAACACCTACCATGAAAGCAGAAAGCCTGATCAAACTGTAGACACTTTGTTAAGCCAAGGTAAAGCCATTCTGTTCTCAGCCACGGAACTCAGCTAAATCATATGATTTCATCAACTGAAAGCCCTGGGAACGTGGTGAGAACTTTGCTACACACAACTATGTTCACCACAAGATAGCCATTGTACCACAACCTTCAGCTAAAAGCTTGCAACTGTCCCCTGCAACGTGTGTTTGCCACTCTATAGAAAAGACAAGCTCTATGCAATCACCCCCTCAGACTTTGAGGATGACTCCCCTGGAGATCACTAAATTTCCTTTCTTCTCCTGAGCTCCTGGTTACTGTTGGCTCAGTTTCCCCTACAACACTAGAAACAACCATTCTCATAGACAGAGAGAGAGAGAGAGAGAGAGAGAGAGAGAGAGGGAGAGAGAGAGAGAGAGAGAAGAGAGAGAGAAAGGCCAATACCCTTGACATGAATGGAATATGACATCAATGGAATTCATTTAATGGAAATAAATAAGCTTCCATCAGAAAAAGAACAAGAGTCCAAGACTCTGCGGGGCATTAAAATGCCAATCTAAAAGCAAAGAGAAAGAAAAAAGAACAAAACAGTTAAGAGTCTCAGAGACATGCAAAGCAACATAAAACATTTTAACATCTTACCATCCTCGTGGGTAAAGGAGGAGTTGAGGAACAAGAGAGATACAGCATAAAGTGGAAGATAGGTCACAATTCATGGAAAACACATCTAAGATGCTGGGAAAAGTCTCACCCAAGACACGCTCAACTCAATACACAAGCATAAAGACAATTCTGCAAAATACTCAGAGAAAATAACAGGTCCAATACAAAGAAATGTCAATTTAAAACTTCCCATGGAAAACACACCAGCCACAAGAGACTGAGAGAACACCTTGCAGGGCCAGAAGAAAAGGTCCCTCCAGGCACTGTGTGCCTGTGATGTAAGTTCTGGGGCCCAAATGAATATAAACAGGAAGGTTAGAGAAGGGGAGAAAAACACAAGAGAATCTGTTGCTAGAAAGCTTGCTACAGAAACACACGAAGGGATTTCCTTCAGGTTGAGGGTAAAAGGCAGGAACAGGCAGGGTGTAACTTCAGGAATCAAAGAGGAGGAAAGGAATGCTGCCTGTTTGGATACCAGAGGCTGGTTACTCTCCTCTTCAGTTCACACACAGGGCAAGAGCAGGAAGATGCAAAAGCCTGATGCCAAAGCTTTCAAGTGTCCCAGGTGGGGCTCAGGCAGGAACCCTGCTCCCCTAGTCCCTCCTCCTAGGATCAGGGCCCACAGGTGACAGCCCCAGGGCTCTGCATCAGGGCCCTCAAGGGACTGCAGCAGCTCATTTTCCCTTAGCTGTCCCCCTCAGCCCGGGTAGGAGGGCGGGAAACCTGCAGCCTGTTTGCAAGCAGTGGCAATCCCTCAGGGTCGCGGGCTCCTGTCCCCATCTTGCTGCCGAGAGGCAGAGGGACCGTCCTCCCGGGAAAGTTACAAAATGTTGCAAACGCGCCGCGCGGCTTTTGACCGTTTGTGCACGCGGGCACGCGGGCCTGAGCACCCGCCTGCGGGGCGGTTTTTGGTCTCCAGCTGCGAAGCCGCGTCCCAGCAACAAAGCATTGCGGTTCAGGCGGCAGAGCAGTTGGCTGCTTCAAGCAGTGCGCTCTGCCAAGGTCCTGGATAGAAGTACCCCCGTTCCCCAATAGTTCCGGGGAGCAGTGCGGCGGGGCTAGCTTTGCCCCGCAGCCCTGCTCCCTGCCCGCGGGGGCAGGAACTTGCCCCAAGGGCCCACCTTTGTGGGCCCCTCTCTGCACCTGCCCAGAGCCCTGGGTGGGCGCATCCCGCTTAGCCAGTGTGCCCGCGGATCCAGTCCTGACGTCTGGCATCAGGCATCAGGCATCCCGGGCTTGACCTCAGTGCTCTGGGCAAGAGTGTCCGGAGCACTGTTCCCCTACCTGCAGGCCCTTTTGGCCCTTGAGGCCCTTGGGGCCCATGGGCCAACAGGTAGGCTCTCTTCTGGGGAGGCCAGTGCTTCCCGCAGAGGATTTTCAGACACGCCGCAGCAGCAGCCCTAGGTCCTCCCGCAGGGAGTGCTCGGGCATTTGGTTCTTGAGGCAGGAGGCTCAGCAGAGGAGGGCCGCCCAGGAGGCTGCGAGGCCCCCATCAGCCTTCAGGCCCGTGGTAGGCCGGCGAGGCCAGGTGCCTTATGTCCCCAGGCCTGGGCCTCTGAGCACAGACCACCGCAGGCAGAGCGCCAGAGCTCCAGCTGCCCCCTCCCCCCAGCCCTCCTGTGTGAGCTCCACCAAGCGAGATGCCATCAGCAGCTCCTACAGCTCCACCGGGGGGCTGCCGGGACAGCGCAGGAGGGCTGCAGCCCCTTCGCACCCCAGGCCGCCCCCGGGCTCCGCCAAAGATCTGAAGGCGGCCAGGCCGGACAGCCTCCAGCAACCGTGTTCGGCCCCCCAAGTTCCCCGCAAGACCGGGAACGAGGTGGTGGCAGACACACCATCCAGACACGAAGAAACCAGAAAGGAACACGAGATGACACCAGAGGGTGCTGGCCTAGGAAGAAGAAAGATCCCTCTCCTGCGGTGTCGCCAAGGGCCACCCCTCAGGCTGCCACCACCTCCGGAACTGAGCTATAAGATCACCGCAGAGCACATAGGTCAGGAGAAGGAGGCAGCATTCCAACTTCTGAATGCCAGGCTGATGGGTAAGTTGCAGGCCCTAGACATCAGCAGCACCCCACAGCCTGTCTGCCCTCCTCCCCTGCCTGCCACAGGTACTGCTCCTGAACACTTGATCTCTGCGGGGGAGAGTAACCACAGAAAGCAGCAGGACTCCACCCTCACCAGTAGCCCTCAGCCTTCCTGCTCTGCTTCCCAGCCTCTGCCAGGTACTGATCCACCCATGATCCCTGCAGGGAAAGGTAAGAACAGAAAGAGGGCCCTAAGAACAGAAAGGGCCCCTAAGATCTTTGATGTCACAGAGCCTTCCTGCTCTGCTCCCCTGGCTGTCCCAGGGACAGCTCCTCCACACACCATTCCCACAGGGAAGGGTAAGAACAAAAGGGAGAAGGTCCCTGAGGTCTTTGACCCCACATGGCTTTTCTGCTCTGCTCCCCTGGCTACTCCAGGGACAGCTCCTCCAGACACCATTCCCACAGGGAAGGGTAAGAAGAAAAGGGAGAAGGCCCCTGAGGTCTTTGACCCCACACAGCTTTTCTGCTCTGCTCCCCTGGCTACTCCAGGGACTGCTCCTCCAGACACTATTCCAAAAGGGAAGGGTAAGAAGAAAAGGGAGAAGGCCCCTGAGGTCTTTGACCCCACACAGCTTTTCTGCTCTGCTCCCCTGGCTACTCCAGGGACAGCTCCTCCAGACACCATTCCCACAGGGAAGGGTAAGAACAAAAGGGAGAAGGCCCCTGAGGTCTTTGACCACACACGGCTTTTCTGCTCTGGTCCCCTGGCTACTCCAGGGAGAGCTCCTCCAGATACCATTCTAACAGGGAAGGGTAAGAAGAAAAGGGAGAAGGCCCCTGAGGTCTTGGACCCCACACAGCTTTTCTGCTCTGGTCCCCTGGCTACTCCAGGGACAGCTCCTCCAGACACCATTCCAACAGGGAAGGGAAAGAACAAAAGGGAGAAGGCCCCTGAGGTCTTTGATCCCACAGAGCCTTCCTGCTCTGCTCCCCTGGCTGCCCCAGGGACTGCTCCTCCAGACACCATTCCAGCAGGGAAAGGTAAGAACAGAAAGAAGGCCCCCAAAGAGAAGACAAGCAGGGAACCTTTAAGCTCTGCTCCCCTGGCTGCCCCAGGGACTGCTCCTCCAGTCATCATTTCAGCAGGGAAAGGTAAGAACAGAAAGAAGGCCCCCAAAGATAACAAATGCATGGAGCCTTTGGGCTCTGCTCCCATGGCTGCCCCAGGGACTGGACCTCCATCCACTGTGCCTGCAGGGAAGAGTAAGAACAGAAAGGAGAAGCCCTTCCTGGGCTCTGGGAACCCACTGACATCTCCAGCCACAGCTACAGCCTCTGCTGTACACACAGACACTAACAGAACAGAGCTTCCAATGGACATCACACCTTCACCTGATCCTCTCCTTTCTGGGCCTCTGGCCCCTGACACCAGTGGCAGCTCCCTCCCTTCTGCACAGCCAACTGTGATACTGCCCCTTGGCAGCACAGCCATAGCCATGGGCTCTGGTCCCCAGGTGGTGCCCAGCTTTGGGCTGTCCTCTATATACGTCACACCCCCACACAATGCTCCTCTTCCGGGGCCTCCCACTGGCACCAGTGGGAACTTCTTCCCATCTGCACAGATGACTGTGGCACCGCCCAGTGGCAGTACATCCATAGCCATGGGCTCTGGTCCCCACATGGTGCCCAGCTTTGGGCCGTCCTCTATATACGTCACACCCCCACACAATGCTCCTCTTCCGGGGCCTCCCACTGGCACCAGTGGGAACTTCTTCCCATCTCCACAGATGACTGTGGCACCGCCCAGTGGCAGTACATCCATAGCCATGGGCTCTGGTCCCCACATGGTGCCCAGCTTTGGGCCGTCCTCTATATACGTCACACCCCCACACAATGCTCCTCTCCCAGGGCCTCCCACTGGCACCAGTGGGAACTTCTTCCCATTTTCACAGATGACTGTGGCACCACCCAGTGGCAGTACAGCCATAGCCTTGGGCTCTGGTCCCCACATGGTGCCCAGCTTTGGGCCGTCCTCTATATACGTCACACCTCCCAACAATGCTCTTCTTCTGGGGCCTCCCACTGGCACCAGTGGGAACTTCTTTCCATCTACACAGATGACTGTGGCACCGCCCAGTGGCAGTACAGCCATACCCATGGGCTCTGGTCCCCACATGGTGCCCAGCTTTGGGCTGTCCTCTATATATGTCATACCTCCCAACAATGCTCTTCTTCTGGGGCCTCCCACTGGCACCAGTGGGAACTTCTTCCCATCTCCACAGATGACTGTGGCACCGCCCAGAAGCAGTAGAGCCATAGCCATGGGCTCTGGTCCCCAGCTGGGTCCCAGCTTTGGGCCATCCTCCATATACGTCACACCTCCCAACAAGGCTCCTCTTCCGGGGCCTCCCACTGGCACTAGTGGGAACTCCTTCCCATCTACACAGATGACTGTGGCACCGCCCAGTGGCAGTACAGCCATAGCCATGGACTCTGGTCCCCAAGTGGTGCCCAGCTTTGGGCCATCCTCCATATATGTCATACCTCCACACAATGCTCCTCTTCCGGGGCCTCCCACTGACACCAGTGGGAACTTCTTCCCATCTGCACAGATTAGTGTGGCACCGCCCAGTGGCAGCATAGCCACAGGCACATCCTCTGCTCCCCAGACAGGGACTGACACCGGAGTAGAACCTATGGATACCACACCTCCAGCTGATCCTCTTCCCGGGGGGGCTCCTCCTGGCACCAGTGGGAACTCCTTTCCATCTGTACAGATGTCTATGGCACCACCCAGGGGCAGCACAGCCACAGGCACGTCCTCT